CGTTCGAGTTTTATAATCCTGTGTTTTGCCTTGTTTTTTTCAAATGGTCAAGCTTATCTCTCTTTGTTCCTTAATACTCCCTCCGTCCGAAAATATTCTTCTTATTTGACTTTTCTTGGTCAAAGTTTGTAAACTTTGACTATGATATGTGGAAAAAATACATTATATTACTATATAACTTTAATATGAATATATTCATTTTGAAATATAGTTTTCAAATATCAAATTTTTATAAAATATATCCATGTATAAATAAAGATATTAGTGGTCAAAGTGCAATTTTGGAGACCGTAAAAAGTCAAATGAGAAGAACATTTCCGGACGGAGGGAGTACTATGAATCGGGACAAAACAAAATGAGTTTGTGTTGTCCTGCATTATCATTGTTCGAAGTTAGATATAAAGATATAAAATGCATAAGGAGGAGACAATATGAAAAAAATGCTACAACATTCGTCAAAAGTTAAACTATGACCCACAAATTGGAGTGGACATAGGTCGGAACGTTCCAGGTTTTTAGGTGTCCCGATCCTAGCCTATTTTTCTTTGAATATTTGAATTTGGATATTTATTTTTATTTATCTTGGGAAAAATAAAAACTATGATACTTTTTAATATTATATCATTTATATAAATAAATTAATAGATATCCTTTCAAAAAAATTATAGATATATTCATCCATACGGGACAACGGGATAGAACGAGAAAATATTTATATATCTCGGTCCCATCTCAATTTAAAACGGTTCAGAATAAGTCCAGGATAATTTTGTCATCCAAAACAAAAAAACATTATAGGGACGAAATCAGGATATTTCGGGTCGAGACAACAAGATCTTAGTTCTTGCCCACCCTAGTTTTCTTGACATTGCTTAGCAATGTCATTGGATGGCCCAGGTCCTACGACACTGCATTTGTAAAATTCAAAAAGTATTGAATAGACTAATAATTAGCGAATTGATTGAGTAATCTTTGAGGAACAAAATAAAATTTCAAATCCTAAAAAACATTTAATTTAGGGAAAATTACCCAAAATAATCCCAACTTTACCCGGTCTTTCAAAAATAATCTCACCTTTAAAATCAATACAATGAAATTAAAATCAATTTTAGGATCTATTTGGAATGTTTTGAAAATATGATATAAGTTCAAAAAATGATAATACCTCTCTGTGAGAATGTTTGTTCATTTTTTACTTTTTATAACTAAAACTAACAAACTTTGGCCATTAACTAAATAAAATTGATGTTAAATATTGATACAAAATAAGTTTATTAGATTTAATTTCTCTTGTAAAATATTTTCTAAATATTTTTTTATCGATTTAATAAACCATATAATTCTAAATTAAATAAATTTGATCGTATTTGACTACAAAAAATGAAAAATCGTCAAACACTGTGGGACAGATGAGTTGTGAAATCCGCCAACATCACTTCCTCCGCCTCCGCTGGAGATAGAGTCACTATTGCCGGACACTAACACTATATTGGGTTCAAGGAATTTGGAAGGAAAAGAAAAAAATGATTTTCTCTCGGTTTCCTCACCAAAACTGGAGAAATTTGGTTTTCCCTCCTCTTTTCGTTTTGCCTTCGCATTTTTTTCCTTCCACCTTTTTATTCTTCCTCTTTAATCAAACAAGAAAAATTGTTTTCCATTTCAAATTCCTTGAATCAAACATAGTGTAAATCATCACTGTTTGAAATCTCTAACTTGTTGTTTTATTTTGGACATCATTGTTTGATGAAAATACTTTAAATATTCATAAATGGAGTTCAAAATAGTACAGAGTATCCCTTTATCTCTGGCATCCTTTATGAAAAAGCCCGATACATTCAAATGTTTGAATTCAAATATTCGAATGTTTCATGATAAAATGCAATGGTTAGTGCAAAATTACATAAATAGACCATTTGTACGTTAACCGATATATACGTTCAAATGTTTAAATACAAACATTCGAATGTTACACAAAAATTTGTGTTGTTTAATGAAACAACATGTCCATTCTGATATTGCCTCTAAATAGATGGTTTCAGAGTATGTTTTGAACACGACATGATTTCCATACTCGTTTTAGATTACTTATGTGTAACGGGTTATGGGAATCCCTCTCCAATTTCCAACACAAATTTAGGAGTTGCTCTTAATGAGTGCATTGCAAATTCGGAAATGAGAGAATAACTGAAGACATAAGTCCCAGCAAAGGCGAGGCCCTACATTGGCGCAAAAAGGCGAGTCTAGTACGACGTCGTGCTGATTTTGATTTGTAACGATTGTCGTAATTGCTTGGGGCCACGTACTGGCCCAACGGCTATTATGCCCAAAATTTCTTCATTGACCCACTGAATGTGTGCCCGAGATTAGGATATGAACAGAGACGGTCCCGAAAAATGAAAAAATAAAATTGGTCTGGTCCAAAATTTATATTTTGTGCCCTATTTTATATTTGGAAAAATTATCTCAAATAATCCCACTTTTTTGCGCTCTTTCAAAAATAATCCCACTTTTCACTGTCACCGGAAATAATCCCACCTTTTCGCATGTGTGCGAGTTTTGGGTCACCGTTAAAAAACTAACGGCCACTTAACGGAAGTTTTTGAAAATGCCTGTTTTTTGCAAATAAATGAAAGGTGTGATTATTTTAGAAAAAATTACTTTTTACTTTTTTAGTTTTGAATTTAAAATTAATATTTTTAAAAATATAACAATACACTCTTGTTAGAGATTTGTCTAACGATTAACAAATTTTGTTAATTGTTTTGGGAAAATATAGTATTGAATTATCAAAAATAATTCAGAGTATCGATCAAGAAAGAAATTACAATAAAAAAATTGTAGTGATTTATAAAATTTATGGGTTCCGTTTCGGAGAAAAAAATATTGTGTCATTTTCACAACTTTTGAATTACTATTTTGGGGAAAAATTTGTATTGAATTATTAAAAAAANAAAAAAATCACAAATTGGGTAGTTCCATTTTAGAAAGAAAATTTTATTGCAATATAAGATTATCAATAAATATGTTCATGGAAAAATTGCAATATATCAGAAAATGTAGTGAGTTATAAAAATAAAAGTTCTATTTTAGAGAAAAAAAATTGTTGTGTTATTTTCACAACTATTGTAATGTTGTTTCACAAAAAAAAATTTATATAGAACTATCGAAAAATATTCATAAGTTTTGTAGTGCCATTTTTTTAAGAAATAATAATAATGTAGTATTAAAAAATAATTTGAAGTGCAGATCAAGAAAAATACAGTAAATGCAACTTACAAAAAAATGTACTCCCTCCGTTATCAAAAACACTTCCTCTTTTATTTTTTTTACCTTCCAACAAAACACTTCCACTTTTTATTAAAAAATCACTTTTACCCTTACTTTTTTTCATACCCTACCTATCACATCATACTTTATCTCTAATAATCTATCCATCACATCTTACTTTTACCTATCACATCAAGAGCAAAATTGGAAGTCAACTACAATTTAATACTTCCTTATTTTTACACAAAGTCAAAAGAGGAACACTTTTTCCAAACAGAGGGAGTAGTTAGTTATGAAGTTAATAAATTAGCTCTATTGTGTAGAATAATTTATTTTCTAATTATTACCATATTATTGGTTATTGAAAAAAAACAATTAGTTTCACTCTAAAAACACTTATATTTGGTATTTTTCCAAAAAAATAAAATAAAAATACATTTAAAGAAATTAAAAAACGAAAAAGGGAGAATTTACCTAAAATAATCCCACCTTTCATTTATTTGCGAAAAACAGGCATTTTTCAAAATTTCCGTTAAGTGACCGTTAGTTTTTTAACGGCAAACCCCAAAACTCGCACATATGCGGGAAGGTGGTATTATTTCTGGTGAGAGTGAAAAGTAGGATTATTTTTGAAAGAGCACTAAAAGGTGGGATTATTTGAGATAATTTTTCCTTTATATTTTTAGAATACTTTTGCTTTAAAATTATTAACAAATTTAAAAATATGGTACCCTAAATTTTAAGAGATTTTGTGCGGTGGGGTTGGCCACTTTGCACACCCTCCAGGCCACCCATGGATATGAATATAGATTTTGACTGAGCAGCATTTGTCAAATGCCAACACCTTAATTCATTACGTTTGGAAGAACTAATTTTAGATTAAAGTGCTCATAGAACTTTAAACATGGAGAATTTTCATAAAGAGGACTAAAACAAAATGAATTTTCTTAATATAAAATCATATGTTATTATTTACTAATGTAGGACCATTGATCATTATCCATTAATCATTATTTATGTAAATCTCCACCATCACTGGACATTATTACTCTCATTAGACATTATTACGTCTTATTTAGAGAATAAAAATGTTTAAATCCTAAATTAGGAAATGACTTATGTTTAGTCTTATTTGGTTCAAATTTCACTTTAAACATACCGAGTATGTTTTTTATAATTTAAACAACGGAGTATTATTTTTTTGTTATTTAAATGTCTCCTTCATCCCAAAATACAAAGAAAAATTCGAATTTTTTTTAATTTTTTTATTAAAAAATTGTTTTTAAAATTTTTTAAAAATAAAATATACCCCCTCCCTTCCAAATTAAATTGCATGTTTATTATTCAAAAAGTCAAACTTCATTCACTTTCTTTTTCTATTTTTGTTAGTTATTTGATAAAATAAAATAGTCATGTCACTATTTGTTTTATAGATCTTTTGATGCATTATTTAAACATGCATGGAGTAATTTTTATTTATTAATTCTACGCTATTTTTCATATAAAATGATTTGAAAATAATTTCAGTAAACCGAAACAGACGATATAAATTAGAACGGGGGAGTAGAACATAAAAACATTAAAATTCACAGAAATTATATATGAAGTATTAAACATGTACAGAGTATATTTTAGGAAAATTTTATAGTAAGAAATTTCTTATTAATGTAAGACATTGGCTTTCAAAATTAAATTTATGGGGACGCTGCCCCATACTCCGCCCTGTTTTTGCTCCCGGTCCTCCCATTTTCTTAATGCACCAGATTTATTCTGCACAAGCAAAAACATAATTATTCAAAGTGTAAGACAAAGACAATCAAATTTGCCTTATATTTCAATGTATTACACTATCACATTCCATTGATGAAAAAAGAAAGACCTAATAGATTCAACGATTTCATCCAAAAAAACAAAAGAAAAAAAAAACAAAAACATACTGTTAAATATATTCTTACTATATTTATTATTATGTGTATGTTGGTAGCTACCATAATTGTATAGGATGTACTCCTTCCGTCCCAAAAAGTCCGACACGTTTCGAAAAAACTGCGTCTCGTAAAGTCCGTTACATTTCTATTAAAAAACCACTTTTACCCCTTACTTTTTCATACCTTACCTATCACATCATACTTTTTTCCTAATAATCTACCTATCACATCCTACTTTTACCCATCACATCAAGGGTATTTTTGGAAAGTCAAGACCAAAATATCCCTCCCTTAATTTTCCAAAAAATCAATATATACCAATTTTTTTGGGACGGAAGGAGTATTAATTATTGTTTCATACTCTCTCCGTCCCTAAATAGATTATAAATTGCGGGTTACGAAGTGAAATTTTCTACTTTTTGAAATCATTTTATTTACAAATTGGTATATCAATAAGATATAAAAATTACATATTAAAAAACTACGTCAAAAGTTTTACAAAACAAGAAGTGACAAGAATATTTTATTTTATCAAATATCTAATGAAATCCCGTAAACAAACAAAAGTTATCGAGAGGAGAGAGAAAAAATTGTAATCTATTTAGGGACGAAGAGAGTATTATAATTAGGAAACCCTTGTATATAAAACCATGTAATCTTTCATTGTTAATTATTGGAATTTACCTATTCTACATCGTATCGGAGCCCTAATCCTCCTCGGCTTCCATCTTTGGCTCTCTCTTTCTTCGGCCCTCTCCCTCTCGGCCACCCTCCTCCGCCGTCCCTCTCTTCACCGGCAAACATGGATGCCGACTCCTCCGTCTCTTCCGGCAAAAACAACTCCACCTCCTCCTCCAATAATCCCCCTAACTCGCCCCATCTAGCTTTCACCACTATAGCAAATATCAAATTACATATTCCTGTGCTACTCAGCCTCTCAGAACCAAATTACAAAAAGTGGATCAGGTTCTTTCAACTTATTGTTCTCAAATTCAATCTCAAAGGTTTCATCGACGGCACCACCACCGAGTCCTCCGCTGATGATTCTGAATAGTACCAGTTTGATGTCCTTCTTCAGGGATGGATTTTATCCACAATCAACGACGAGGTATCTGATCTTGTTCTTGCTAGCAATCCTTCTGCTCATGCTCTCTGGAAGGCGATCTACAACCTCTTCCATGACAACAGATATGCACGAGCGATGCACCTGGAGCATTGCTTCCGCACAACGGTGAAAGGTAACTAATCCATTGCGGAGTACTATCGGTTTCACAAAAACTTATCGGAGTACCTTGATGATGTGGACGCCCCCGTGGCTGAGCGGGCTCTCGTTCTTCATATGCTTCAAGGGCTACCACACGACATCCGGTCTCAGGTTCAATTTCTACAATATCAGAATCCCTTCCCTACCTTCCTCGAAGCACGGTGTGCCTTTCTCCTCGTCGAACAGCAACAGAACGATCAACGCCCTCCACAGCACCGGCTCATCGCCCACTTCCCTCCTCAGTACCGGCAGTGGCGGCGGCTCTGGCGACGGCGCACAGCAACACGGGCAGCAAGGATCTAGCGGACAACACCGAGGTGGGTACAGCGAGAAGAACCGGGGCACCGGCGGCGGCTATGGACGCGGTAGAGGACGCGGACACGGGCGTGGCAGTGGCGGCAACCAACGGCAACCATCGAGCTCAGCCTGGACATTACCCTCTCCCACTCCTAGGCTGCTTGGGCCGCGCCCCTATTTACCCTACCCTCCGGCCCATGTTATTATTTAATTTTGCATATTTTAATCGTTATTGCACGAAAATAGTAATAAATTTATCCATTAAAAGTGTCTATTAGTGACAAAACTTATGTTTCGTATCAAGAAGAATAAAATACGGATTCCAAATTAAATTAAGTGTATTTGTCAATTTTATGTCCCAAATTAGATGAAAAGTTTCAGATTTTAAAGATCACAAATACTTTGGAGGTAGAAATCAGTGTTCGAGAGTCAAACACACCAATACAGAGCAAAAATAGGCCAAGATCTCGAAGATTCGTGAATTGGGCGCAGGATTCGGGTCCTGGGCGTCCAAAGTCAACTTTGGACGCCCGGGGTAGTTGGACACCCAAGGAACCAGAAGTGACGCGGCCCTGCCACGCGGCAATCAGCTACTGGACCGAACACGTATTGGACGTACGGGAATCCAACGTTGGACGCCCAGGGAGGTGGACGCCCGCGGTCCCTGCCCTATAAATACATTTCTATTCTCATCTCATTCAACACTATCTCTCAACGCCATTTTGGGTTTCCTCTTTCATTTTATTCAAAAATTATTGTATATTAGTTTAAATAGCTAGTAGTTTTGAAGTATTTTCGAAGATTTTGACTCCCGATCTGTTCCGTTTTGCTTACATGGAAGCTGTAAGTGTTCTTTATTTAATTTAATGATGTTTTAATTTATGTTTGCATAGTCTGAGTTAGGGTCCGAATCTCTAGATTCGGACTAGTTTGGTTGTATAATTTGAATGTTTAATTATCTATTTTTTGAGAAAATATTATATGTCGGAAGACTATCGTATTCAAGGCAACAGATTAAGTACAAAACCTAGAAATAGGTAAGTAATAATAGAAATATTATTATTCCAATTATTAATTAAGTATGATAAAGTATATCCAAATGATGTCCTGACCCTAGGTCCAGATCTGCACTTATACTATGTAAAATTAATTTATTATTGTTAATCTGCTCTCTTTCATTTCGTTCCTAGAAGACTTTCATAAACCTATACAAGCCTTCACCTAGTTAGAGTTATTAGCTAATTCCCTTTCCTCGAGAGACACGAAACTCGGAGAGAAAACTAACCCATTACTGGGAAGGTTTACTACCCGAAAAGCTACAACTATCAAATGGCACCCTTTCGTCTTCCCGCAGACTTTGACCATGTAGCTTTCTGGAGGGAGCATTCATCTAACGAGCAGGAGTTTGTAAACAAGAAGAGTAAGGCTCGATTCTGGATTGGCCCACCTGGAGGATCCTATCTTTCGTTCTTTCGACATCCTTCTTTGGAAGGCTGTCGAACACAAATAGAGTCTACGAGGAGGACCTGTTTGTCTTTTGGAGCCTGCACAACAGCCAGCCAGTGAACGTGGCGATGTACCTGACCAGGTTCTTATACTCCCTGTCCTATGGGTGTAGGACGCACTTGGTCTGTCGGTTCGTGATTACTTTGCTCTTTCGCTCCCTCATGGGGAATGCACCTATCCCATGACCTCTCATGTTGATGAGGGAGTTAGATGCTGGAATGCTCCGGAATGCTCACATCCACAGGAGTCTCTTTCCTAGCTCTTCTAAGAGTACTACAGCGTCTACTAGTCGCACTTCACATGAGATGGGAGAGTCTTCCAGTCAGTCACAAAGACCGTCTCAGCGCCTTCCTCGTCGGCGACCCACCAGAGCACAACTGGCTCGCGCTCAGTTAGAGGTAGCACCGGCATGGGCCCAGCAGCTCTTGGAGAACCAGAATACACTTTTGCGGTCCGTCACAGCACTCCAGCAGCAAGTGCAGGGTTTAGACAGGATGTGTGAGGCGTTGGGTTTTGAAAACCCAACAGATCTCCCTCAGCAGCAGAAGCCCGGAGATGACGATCGCTCCACCTCCCAGCCTCCGCAGTGATCTCCTACTTTTTCTGAACTTTTTATCTTATTTGAGCTGGAATTGATGACTTGCTGGTTTATTTGGATTCCAGTTTGACTTCTTCTGGTAAACTTTTATGGTTATGCTTATTTACTATTTCAATCATCACTCTGAATATTTTACATATGCAATCATCTTAGTCATCACATGTTTGATATTTCAACCAAAAATTCTACTCTGAAATGCTTTTTTTGCCGCGAGGGTGCGGTTCCGTTCAAGTGTGAGGAGGATGTGAATTATTGGTTGAAATATTCTTGGTTAGAATGGTTTGCTTTGCATATTTGTGGGTAAAGATTTTATAAGTATGGTCATCAACTCTTTTGTTTAAATAATTAAGTTTTTAGTTATCACCCATAAAAATTGGAAATTCTTAACTTTTTGTCAAACTTTTATCTTTTCTCCTAATTTTTTTTCAAACGATTTCTAAATCATTTGGGATACATTAGTATTTTCTAAAGGTTTTTAAGATCTATTAATTTTTAAATAGCTTCTCTAAAAATGTCGTTTCTCATAAAGGTCTCTTCTAAATATAAGGGTCTATAAAAAAATTCTAATGGTTTAAATTTTGTTTGTTGGGATTGCGCTTAAGTGACGAATTGGAAATTCTATCTCCGTAAAGGGGCTCTGCTTCTCCCGCTAATTGCATAAGGCGAGGGAGTAAGTATGCGTTTGTCATAAAATAAATCCACAATCTCAGTAATGCAATATGCCTTGGTGATTCCGAGAATTCTCTCGTGATAAATAATGCTTAATAAAGTGAATAGGCTCTAAGAGTTTGACAAAAACCTTTTTGGAAACCCATTTTTATTAGAGCTTTGAAACATTTTTTGATTTTAAAACAATCCTTAGAAATATGATTATCAATGAAAATTTAGAGTTTAGTTTTGATTTAATTGGGTAAAAATATAGGTTTGACAAAATACTTTTAAATTTCTAACAATATGGGTGAGAATCTATAAATTTACTTGTTCATGCAAAAACGTCGATGACTATCTTATCTTTCCGATCCTTTCCTTCGAGTTGTGTAACTTAAATGTTTTCTCTGTGATTGCTAATTTGTTTTCATACATAACTTATTCAATTTGTTGCTTGATGGCAAACAACGTTTAAGTGTGAAGAATTCGATAAGTCCATTTTGTTCTTATTTTATTCTGCATATTTTAAGCGTTATTGCACGAAAATAGTAATAAATTTATCCATTAAAAGTGTCTATTAGTGACAAAACTTATGTTTCGTCTTAAGAAGAATAAAACACGGGTTCCAAACTAAATTAAGTTTATTTGTCAATTTTATGTCCCAAATTGGATGAAAAATTTCAGATTTTAAAGATCACAAATACTTCGGAGGTAGAAATCAGTGTTCGGGAGTCAAACGGGCCAATACAAAGCAAAAATGGGCCAAGATCTCGAAGATTAGCGAATTGGGTGCAAGATTCGGGTCATGGGCGTCCAAAGTTGGACGCTCGGGGTAGTTGGACGCCCAAGGAACCAGAAGTGACGCGGCCCTGCCACACGGCAATAAGCTATAAATGGACGCCCGCGGTCCATGCGTATATTAATTAAAGTAGTAGTTTTGAAGTATTTTTGAAGATTTTGACTCTAGATCTGCTCCGTTCCGCTTATACAGAAGTTGTTTTGTTCCATTCCGCATACACATATTGCTTTTTCTCTTAGTCGTGCAGTGTGGGTCACACCATCACGCTTATCACATCCTGTCATACAGTGCACGTCAATTTGCTCTTTCCATCATATCTTATCCCTTTTAGGGTGTGGATCATGCACATTGCTTTTTTCTTTTTTTGAAATTGTTTTAATTTAAATTATTTTAACTTAAAATATAAAATAAAACTCTTATTAATATTAAATTTAAAATTAAAATGGAAAAAGTAAAAGATAAAAAGAGTGATATGTGGCAAAAAGAGAGATATCTTAAAAAATAGAAATACTTGAAAAACAAATACAACCCCTTGATTAAAAAAATTAAATATCACCGCCTAAGGTGTCGGCCGCATGTCCAAGCTACTTCTGGCTAATTTTGTCTTTTATATTTAGAATAGTTGTGTGCGCGGTGGAAAATGATCAACACCCTATATCACAATCTCATAGCTTTTTTTTCTCATTACATTTGCGCTCAAGGTTGTAGTGCTTCACCGATAAATTTTTGTTTTAGCTAAATCTTCTTGATTGCACTTGGTTGAAAGCAGCGATAGTGGACACGAGGTTGTTGATAGTGGGGTCTTCGGGTGCGGTCGTGTGCGATGATGATGCCTTTTTCGCCTTATCTTTGTCGTCTGGCCAGTAGGCTCAAGAGGCAGAGGCGGAGCGAAATGGGAGCAACTGACTGGAATTGCAATCACTCCTAAATCAACTTTCTTTATAATATATATACATACTGCATATGATAATTTATAAAAGACTAAACATAAGATGATGAGATCTTGATAAAATCCCTACTCTTCTCTTTTACGGAGAAACATGTAAAAGGAACTGCTCTAAGAAATAGGGAATTCCTACTCTGTTCTAATATAAACTTATTTTTAGTATTCTATATTATTTACTAGTGATTAAACAGAGTACTGAGTAAATACAAGAAGAAACATGCATCTTCGCCATCAAGAAGAAAGCAATGTTTTTGTTGTCAATGTTCTGGAGAGAATGGGCGTAGTTGGGAGCATATAAAGAATGGTTTGGCTCTGCGTTTACTGCCACCTAGCCCTTCCTATGGGTGGTGTCGGGCTGCCGAATGCTTCTCATGCCTCTTCAAATTTTAATGAGGAGTAAAAAAATGTGATTTGATTTTAAATGTTTTTGTACTCGATATATATTTGGTTTTGAATGGTGATAAATAGCCACCGCTAAACCCCCTGCAACCACACCACTTGATCAATGGACGAATTATTCTACTTTAATTTCACCACCACTAGCATTGGATTTTGGCTCCACCACTTTCCAGAGGGGTTGGAATGTCGTCGTCGCCACTCAAGAACACGGATGTCGAAAGAGGGATGGAGGCCATGAGACTACCATTCACCTCGGACTCTGGCATTTTGGTCGGTTTGGCTCGGCACACCTCAGTCGGTACCGCAGCCCATTTAGGGTGCTCACTAAATATCTCCCACACTTTCATATGTTGGAAAGGGCCGCTATATTGTGTTTGATACTTTGACAACGTCGATTTTAAAATGGGATCGTCACTTGCCCTGCTTGGCCGAGCAAGGGTGGTGCTTTGTATATCCCGGCAAACTTGTAAACTTTTGCATTCAAGTCGCGGTACATGGAGGAGATCACGTCGATGCGGCGGTAGGGCTCCACGTTCATCAATACGTAGAATTTTTTAGTGACCCTACCCCAAAAGTTGTCTGCGTTTTGAGCAATTCATAATTGCGGGAAAAAATGAGAAAAAAATCGTTTGGAATCGAAAAAGGATTTAAAAACTATATGAAATTTTTAAGGAAATGTACTTGGAAAAAATGAACCTAGCTATAATCGGGTCTTCGGAAACGTTCACCCAAACCATGACAACAGTTCTTCCTTTGTCGCCGTACGTCCAGGGTCTTTTGACCGCCCAACTCGTTGTACCCTTTTGGCATGGCCTTCCCTTTTGATTTTTTTGGAGGTTGCATTTCCAGGACATGCTCTACCTCGTTCTCCGGGATGGGAGTCGGGCCAACCGTACCCAGTACTTATTGAAAATTTCATAAATAATGTTTTTGGCACTCTAAGAATTGCACATATGTTGGATTTATAATGTGACACAAAAAAATTATTATGGGAGGTGAAAAGAATTTATATATGGAAGAAGTAAAGAGGAAGTGTAAAAGAATTTAGAAGAGGGTACGCGCAAAAAGACTAAGAGCTTGTTCTTTATTACTGGAAAAAAAGAGGTTGATGTTGGAAGAAGCTGGAAGAACATGGAAATGGGAAGAAACTAGAAAAAATTGGAAAATATAAAAAAAAACTTTTAAAAAAATTACTGAAGTTTATTTTTTATATTTTTCTCATTCTAATTGTTGTTGTTATAATTTATTATTATTAGTATTATTATATTCGCAATCATTTTATCTTAATTAATCTCTTTAAGATAAAAAAAATATTGTCATTTTTTCATTCACAAAAATCTACTTTCGCAAAAATTTATTTAATTAGAATATAAAGTTAACATAAATATTAAAATGCTATATTTTAAAAAGTTATTGCGGTCACCTTAGTTTATTTATGCAATATTTATTACTCCCTCTATCCTAAAATATTCTTTTCAGTTAGTATTCGCACAGTCAAACATTAATCAATTTCTTTAACTATTTTCGTTAATTATTTGATAAAACAATACAGTCTAGTCACCTGTTTTGTAGAACTTTTGATGTAGTTTTTAAATATATAAATTTTAGTTTTAAATTTTACACCTACAATTAAACAAATTGATTTGAAAATAAAGTCAGCCAAACCTCGTATATAGAAATGAGAAGAAGGTTTTAAGACGGAGGGAGTACAAAATAATATATTTGTAATTATAATTCATATATTATAAGATTTTATTTTAAACATCAGACATGTCACATAATGTGATCAAATCTATATTTTTCTTTCATGATTGACATTGTAACTCTTATTTTGGGGACAAAAAACATAAAATTTTTATTTTGGTACATTTTTATATTTTACTCCTAGTTTGTTCTTTTTCACTAAAATATTTTACCTTTCAAAAAATTTTATAAAATTTGAAAAATGTTTTCCTCATATCAATTTAGAAGAGTACCAATCGTAAAAATAGTGACATGGAAAAAATAAAAAATGAAATAATTTATAAACTATAGTTATCAATATAATACTTGTAAGAATAATAATAATAATAATAATAATAATAATAACAACTATAATGAAGATAATACTAATACTAATTATTGTTATTATTATTATTATGATAATAATTATTATTAGTATTGTAATTATAATGATAATAATCACATTAAAAATACGTCATTTTTAAAGTGATTGTTTGAGGAGTAGAAAAAGTTTAAAAAATTAGAAAAAATTGGAAAAAAAAACTAGATCAAGAGTTTAAGATCTAAAAAACACGACCACGACAAATGAAATCAACTAAAAACTTAAACGAAAATTAAAGACAGGAAACGTTTTACTCCATATATTATTGGCGGAGCAGTTAAAATTTTAATTAGCTTGGCCCGGCATTTTAACTTGCGAAATATAAGTACTGAACAATAAATAAACTTATTTAAGAAATGAGATGCACGTATATATGATTTGTTTAATGAGTGCATTGGTTAGATAGTGCCAGTTATATAGATAGTGACACTTAACCTACATGACACATATTGCTATTTATTTTAATGGCAAATGATCTTTATTTCAGACTTGAAGAGTATGAATAATCCGTATTTTTGTTTTTATAAACATGACATAATTCTTCCACCTAAGATTGAAATTATTGTTTCATGTTTTGTTTGAAAGGTATGCTGCTGACGAGGTTGCGAATATTATTACTCAGCAATAATTTTCTAATATAAGAATGATGCCTAAAACATAGCATCAAAAAGATGCACTGTCGTGAATCAGAAGTATGCTCTCTCACATTTACTTGCTCGATCATCTCTCATAGAATGAATGACTATACATTTTCTTATCATTATAAAAGAGATATTATCCTATTTGGAGTAAAACATAAAGAAAATATCAAAATAGAAATTCCATGTTTTAATTCTATAAATAAGAGTTCACACTGTAGTATTGTAACACTCTACATATACATTTTACTACTCCGGTATATTTTTGGTAATATGGATGCTCATGATTGGTAATGTAAAAGTATTTTAACTCCTATTTGGAAAATAAAAACATATAACTCCTATTTTGATATATTTTCAATGTTTTATTTCTACTTTAGTTTTTCTCTCAGTCCCTCTGTCCCTGTAATTCTTTCTCCTTTTTTTTCTTATCCTACAATCAAACTCCTTTCTTTTAAAAAACTATTTTTTACCACTACTAATTTTTACCATACTTTTATACTAATAATCTATCAATGACATCCTACTTTTACTCATCACATCAAGTATATTTTTAAAAATCAACACAAATATATTTCTCCCTTATATTCTCTAAAACTCAATAAGGAAGGAACTTTAAGGGACGGAGGGAGTATCATATAATGATTATATAATAGGCCAAATAGCACCAGCACCCCCCGTGATTTGGAAAATAGGCACCAATACCCCCGTTTTTTCAAATATTATTTCTAAAGTCCTCGTGGTTTTAAAATATTACACACAAATCCCCTTTGATCATTTTTCGACGAAGAAGGGGCATTGGCGCCTATATTCAAACCTATAGGGGGCACTCGTGATCATTTATTCTTTTTCGTTTATTTTTTGTTTTAGAAGATAGGCACTAATGCCCCCTCTTTTCACTGGAAAATGATTGGAAAGGGTGTGGGTGCAACGTTTTGAAACCACGAGAACTTTAGAAATAAGTTTCGAAAATAGATGGGGCACTGGTACCAATTTTCAAACCACAGGAGGCACTGGAGTTATTTTCCTGATGATTATATATACATTAACTTTATAGAGAAATAATCCTTAATACTCCCCCCTCCCATATTGGATACCACACTCCAAACAACGTGCAAAATCCTATCATGTTTAAAATCATTTTAATTACAAATTAGTATAGAAATAAAAGTATAATTTACATCATTTAAAAGTAAATAAAAAAACTTTATAAAACAAGATGTGATAAGAATATTTTATTTTATCAAACTATTAATGAAAATATACAAACAAACAAAAGTTATGAGCCGTAATAGTGATAGTGACATCCAATGTTATGATACGATGTACGTATCGGGGAGAAGACTTTGAGCGCCTTCGGGCTCGTAGGGAAAAACAAGAGGAAGGAGAAGGTGAAGGGGAGGGTGGCAGCGGCTGTGAGCCGTGCGAGAGAGGGAGAGAAAACGAGGGAGAGAGAGAAAGAATTTAGGGTTTGGAGAGTTTTATTATTGCTTACGTAAATAGAGAGAATACATCCCTATTTATAGGGAAACCCCAATACCTAAAACTACGTTTTCTATCCTAACGGTTCAAAGAAAAGCGACAAGGTAAAGAACCGTAAAGAAACCCTCGAAGGAGCTTATAATTCGCTTGCCTAGGAAAAATCTAAATTACAACAAATAATAAAAGTTTAATGCATCTCGAAATCCTTTTTCCATTCTGGGGCACGCCTAGTACGCGTACCCGTACCCGTCCGCCTTGTTGCCTCCGTATCATTCCCCTTTCTTCGGAGGCCACCTTGTTCTCAAGGTGTAAATGAGGATAATGTTCGCGGATCACCGCTGCTGGTTCCCATGTAGCGTCATCTAAGGTACTGTCGCTCCAGCTGGCCAAATATTGTTCCTCCCTAATGCCATGCCGCAGCACCCACAGAGAGGCATGCACCTGGACGGGATGGGAAGGGGCTCGACCATCGACCAGATCATCTAGTAAGGGCAGCACCTCGGCATCAGACTCTCTGCCCACAAAAGGACGCAACACTGAGACGTGGAAGACCGGAGGTATTCGAGCACTGTCTGGGAGTTTTAAGCGATACACCATGTGCCCAATTCGCTCCAAAACTTCAAAGGGGCCATGAAAACGGAGATTTAATTTTTTAGAAGACCGGCGAGCCACCGAGTTTGCCGGTAAGGTTACAGCCGCAATAGGACCCAATCGCCGACCTAGAATTCGACGTCCCGGCGGTGTCTATCTGCCATCATCTTCATCCTTGTTTGGGCGGCTTGCAAATTATCCTGCAGCCGACATAAGAGGGTGTCGCGCTCAGCAAAAATGTCATCCACCACTGGTACCTTACTGGCGCCGTGTTTGTAGGGGATAATATTCAGAGAAACTCGGCCGTAGAGTGCTTGGAACGGTGTCATCTTGAGGTCACTATGGACACTGGTGTTCATGGAATACTCCGCCCAGGGAAGAAGGACTGTCCAGTGGTTTGGCCGATCGTGGACAAAAGCGCGCAAGTATTGTTCCAAGGTACGATTCAGGACTTCCGTCTGACCATCCGTTTGCGGATGAAACGCGCTACTGTGCTTCAATGCTGTCCCACTCAATGAGTGTAACTCCCGCCAAAATGTACTTAGAAAAATTATGTCCTTGTCAGATATAATGGAGCGAGGAAACCCATGCAACTTAATGACTATGTCGCTAAACAGGAAAGCCGTACGGTGCGCGTCGAAGTCCCTTGGCAAAGGACCAAAGTGCACATACTTGGTGAGTCGGTCGACCACGACCAAAATGACGAAGGATCCCCACGAGGTAGGCAACACCATGACAAAGTCCATACTGATGTCTTCCCAAACCTGTTCCGGGATAGGCAAGGCCTGGAGCAAACCCCCGGGGGTTGAGTAGAGTACTTGGTCCGTTGACAGGTGGGGCAAGCCTTGACGTATTCCCTCACATCGGCACGCATTCGGGCCCAATAGAATGTCTGTGCAAGCCGCATGAAAGTGCGATGAATGCCCGTGTGACCCCCGGTATGTGAGTCATGATATTCCTTGAGAAGCTCCCGTCGCAATGTTGTCTGCTCCCTGATGCACAGGCGCGTAATATATAAAAGCAGACCGCCGACCACCGTAAAGAGAGCCAGCACGAGCCCCTGCCGAGAGAGACCGTGCATGCGTGCGAGGTCCAGTTGATCCCGATTTTCCTTCC